GTTTGTGCAGTGGACCTACAAACTTATTACAGTTCACCAAAGAAGGGGAGTGGCATTGGCATAGGGGGAAATGAAATGTCATTTGTGGCTGGATTAGGTGTATTTCTTCACACTTGGTGATGTTAATAGTAGTTGCAATTTACCCATCATTTACCATTGGTTACCATAAAGTGGTGTACAAGATACATTTATTTCCTTTTCCACAATAGAGGGATACTGCAGTATCTGAGATGCCTTTGTCTTAACTATTGCTAAATGTTGGCCTTTTCATCAATGTACATCACACACTCGTAAAAATTGTAGGGAATTTCTAAAGATTCTTATTCCTTAATAAATGTCCATTTACTTTATAGTGAGCTTACTTTGCTTTTAAATACTACCAGGGTATATTTCTGCTTTCAGACTCTTGCTTGAGGCATTTTGCAAAGCATTCCCATGTTCTAAACTTTATAGAGGTGTCAGAAATGTTCAAGAATGAGAATTAGACTGGAAAAATGTTTAGAGAAATAAAACTCTCACTTCTCACTGATGGAAGCTGTTACCAACTATCTGAATATTTTTAATATCTATAAACATAAAGTAAAGTTTAGTCCTTGTCTGAAAACATTAGACTCTGATCTATAAAAAGAATGTACAGGTTTAACATCTGGATGACTCAGGATGTCCTATTTATTTGCAGAAACATGGCATGGGTACTAACTCATTCTCATATACTGCAGGATTTTTTGCTCTGTTATGAAAATGTAGACATGTGTCTTGCAGTGCTCCTTTAATAGGCACGGGTAAAGTATTCACAGAATTAGAAGAGGGCTGTGGTTACTTTGATAACTGTAAATGTCTCAGTTGGCTTATATGCAGCCATTGACCATTCTGATTTTTGTGCCCTTTAACTTTCAGATAAAGATGAAATATTCTTGTTTCTCTCTAGTTTCCAAAAGAGTTCCTTAGCATTGTAAAGTAACTTCTAATATTATTCTAGATTAGAACCAATAAAGCAAGTATGGGGTGAATGCATATAGATAAGATGTGGCGAAATTAAAAAAAAGAACAAGATTTGATTTGCATTTTCTATCATTCTTGTATTGCTTCAAGAAGAAAATTAGAAGAGACTTGTGATTTTCAGCTCCATGAGAAAGAAGGCATTCACCTTCCTTTCTTCTGTCCCAATCAAAAAACCTTTCTTAGATATTTTCAAGTTCAATCTAACGGGATCTCCATAGATCTTAGGAGTTAGTCTTCATGTTCCCTTTTTATTTTCATTGAAGGACTCCAGAAGGTTTAAATTTTATATTCCACAACACTTTAACAAAATGGATCAGAATTAGTATTAGAGTCATAAAAGGAGTCCCTTGTCCCTTAGGAATAACTACTCAATTTGAATATGCTTACTGTCTTCTTTGCAGAAAGGAAATTATCCTTAGATCTGCAAGGCAGTCCCTTGGTGATGTCATTACAGGGTTTTCCATACACTAGTAAGTAGACATGAGCAACTCAGATATTGCTTTTGGATGTCCATTTCTTAATTCAGTGATTTGAAGAGAGGCTGTTTACTACTCCATGATTTTTAAATGCCGGTTCTGGGCAGGACTGTTTCTCCACAGAGCGTGTTAATCTCAGATTGTAGTGGGAGGAAAATAATTATTCTGTTACTTGTAAATTGCATTTCTGTGAGAGGCTCTCTTGATCTGAAATGGCATGCCCAGCTTCCAGTGATGAATGCATCTTCTGTCATGTGTGTCATGTTGAGAAAGTTATAGTTAATTGCAGTGATAGATTTAGTTACCCCAGGAGGGGACACCAAATTCCATGTAGAGGAAAGATCTAGCTACATCTCTGGGCGGAAAAAAACACTAAAAAATGCATCTGACAAGTAAGTAGGGTTACCATATGTCCGG